TTTGAAAGTTGAAACCTGAAGGCAGCTGCCAGAATTCTCTTCTTTCCAACATGCCCTAGTATTCCCTGCCAAAATTCTTTCCCAAGGGTTCTGGACACCCAACGAGAGGCACAGTTACATTTGGAATAACTGTAAAAGCAATTATAATTGTTACCTTGCAAGTGGTAGGCTGGATAAATCGAGTTGCTTTCTTATCTTAGATTAAGAGTGTGAGGTATGAGACAGAACAAGCCATACAAGCCAGGAGGTGGCCAGTCCTAGTGAGCTGGCAGCTCTCTCTGGAAGGAAGGATTTTCTTGAAGCCTGAAAGGGAAAGAGGGTGAATTGCCGGTGTGCCTACAAAGGGGTGGTTGATGAGAGGGATGGGAGGGCGTGGGATGGTATCTTATTTAGAGTTTCTATATATAAACACAATTACCAAAAGTAGCCTGGAGAGGAAAGGGTTTATTTCACTTTATACCTCTCAGATCACACCACCACTGTGGGAAGCCAGGGCAGGAACCTGGAGGCAGGAGCTGATGCAGAGACCATGGAGGAGTGCTGCTTACTGACTTGCTCCCCATGGCTTGTTCAGTCTTTCTCATAGAACTCAGGACCACCAGCCCAGGGGTGGCACTGCCCACAGTGGGCTGGGTGCTCCCACATGAATCATTAATTAAGAAAATACCCAAAAGGACTGCCTGTAGGCCAATCTGGTGGGGACATTTTCTAAATTGAGGTTCCCTCTTCTCAAAAGAATCTAGCTTGTGTCAAGCTGACCAAGAATGAACCAGGACAGACAGTTCATCCCTCCAAGCTGCATGTGACTTGCTAGGTAGTTAGGTTGGGAATCTGAAGGTCTTCAGTGGTAAAAAGGGTGAATCTTTAGACACAAGCCAAGAAACACCAGCAAATTGTAGGCCCTCTAGTGTGGGGATCCCACCAGAGGAGTCATTACAGGGTCCTATTTACTGCTTTAAAAAAAATCCAATTTCCAATAAATAGTGGAAGGATTTCTTGTTTAAGATCTGTCTGTCTGTCTGTCTATCTATCTATCTATAAAATGTATGCTATGTGTCATTCATTTAAAAAAAAAATCATCGTTTGTTTTACCCAAAGACAGATGCCAAAGACTGGTCTTCAGTCTGTTTCTGGGGTGGCCTTAGGCTTCTGTGGTAGGGCCCAGGAGACTGGGAGAGATCAAGGAGGGACTGGCCCTGTATCTCCCTCCAGGAATAAGCACTAATTTGTCTATTCTCTCTTAAGTAGTGGTAGCTTGTCATTTTATTTTTATTAAGTTCTGTTGCTTGGAAAATATTTAAAATCTATCACTTTAGGGAATTGATGTTGATCGTACATAGAAAAAAATCTCCTCTTCCTGAAAAATTGCTTTGGATTATTCAAATCTCCAAGGAATGAAATGTGTCACTTCTTTCTCTGTCCCACTGAGTCACAAGTATGATTTTTGGAATACTTAGTATTTTTTTTAAATGTGTCTCTACAATGTAAAAGGGTTTTATATTTTAAATATTTTACATATAAATATTTTTTTACTTTTGAGTCTTTTTATAACTTTGGTTTCATAGCCTGAGGCATGTAACTCACAACCTAAGGCATAAAATCACAGCTATGACTAGAGACATGATTAGGTTTCAGTAGATCTTGTTGAATACAATTGATGGTCTGTCTTAAAAACAAGAATATGAGCCGGCGGTGGTGGCGCACACCTTTAATCACAGCACTCGGGAGGCAGAGGCCGGCGGATCTCTGTGAGTTCGAGGCCAGCCTAGGCTAGAGAGTGAGTTCCAGGAAAGGTGCAAAGCTACACAGAGAAACCCTGTCTCAAACAAAACAAAACAAAACAAAAACATGAATATGAGCTGGGTGTAGTGGCGCACACCTTTTTATCCCAGCACTTGGGAGGCAGAGGCAGATGGATCTCTGTGAGTTTGGGGCCAGCCTGGTCTACATAGAGTTCCAAGACAGCCAAGGCTGTATATAGATGCCTTGTCTTAAAAAACAAACCACCGGGAGGCAGAGCCAGGCGGATCTCTGTGAGTTCGAGGCCAGCCTGGTCTCCAAAGCGAGTTCCAGGGGCGCAAAGCTACACAGAGAAACCCTGTCTCGAAAAACCAAAAAAAAAAAAAAAAAAAAAAAAAACAAACCACAAGTATGTCTAAGATACCCAGGAGTACATTAAAAATTTGTCCCATATAGCCAGTGAGATGGCTCAGCAGTTAGAGGCACTTCTAATGCAAGTCTTACCACATAAGTCGGTTCCTAGAACCCACAGTTCAATCCCTGAAACTTACTTTGGAAGGAGAGAACCAACTCCCTCAAATTGTCCTCTGACTTTCAAATGTGCACTATGGCACACACATGCCCACAGTCACATACACACATATCACACACACACACATACACACTAATTATAATAATAATTTCTAAATTGCCCTATATAAAGTTTCCTTCTCAAAAGCATTACCAGGCAAGGGCATAAGAAAGTGAGCAATGGCCAGATTTGAAGAACAACATTGGTTCTTCTCAGTAGCATCCTCCAATTGGCATCTTAAATTTATTTAGTTTTGACGCATGATCTCACTATCTGACTTTGAAATAAAGATTCTACTATCTCAGACCCCTGAGTTCTGGGATTACAGAGGTATGACCACCATGATCGGCTCTAGTTGGCTCTGAAGGGTAATTGATATTTGAGGTCTGGGATGGTTCTGAGTTGCAACAGTTCCTGTTGCCCTACTCAGGATACATTCACTGGCTGCATTCAGATGAGAAGACACGTTTGGGGGGACATTGGTGGGACTGTGAGAGTGGTACACTGGGAAGTCTTAGGAAAATGACCAAGTGATCATTATCTAGCCATAGACTGGAAAGAGGTGACATCATTCATTTTTTTTTTTTTTTATCTTACATGACCCTAAAGGGAAGTCTGATATCTCAAGGTCTCAGGCTTGTTGTGTGCGTTAATTTGATTTTAGTTCGCTCTTGGATGGTAGCTCTTTAGTTGTTAGTAGGATGAGAACACTGAATCTTGAAGTTTATTGAACTTTATAGCATGCCTTCCATGTTGGAAACTAATCATTGCTTAGTTTCCTCTTTAACCTGTTTTGAGTCAAGTCATCTCTTGCTTCTCAGTTTATATAGGGTAGTAACTCTTGACTCTTTCTGGTTGGTGAGCAAAGATCTCATTGGTTTTCCCCTTTTCTATCACCTCCAACTTTTTCTTTCATTCTTGTTTTGGTGTTCTTGTGTTTATATATAAGTCATGAAGCTCATCCTGAAGTTCCCATCAATGAAAAGCCATAGTGATGGTCCCACTAAGATATTAATGTAGTTGAAAAAGTCCCATCCCACAGTGACATTTATAGCTGTCATAATATTGTAACTTAACACATGATCCACATTTGTGTGACACTGGTATAAACAAACCTATAGCATTACCAGCCATAAACAGCATATAGAATTATGTATAGTAAATAATGACTGGTTAATGATAATAAGAAACTATGTTAATAGCTTATACATTTATTCCACTATACCTTTTACGAGTATTTTAGTGTGTACTTCTGGCACGTAAAACTGGTTTTTTTGCAAAACAGTCTGCTGGATTAGCAGCAGCCTCATATTTGCTGTATTTACTGTGTTTCTTGATTGCATTGTTCTTCTTATGCTTGGTACACTGTGTTCATTCATCTGTTAGTGTGCACTTAGCTTGATTTCCCTTCGGGCAGTCATGAATAATACTCTTGTGAATGATATTAATAATGCAAAGATGTAGAAATACCTCTTTAAGACCCTGATTTCAGACCTCTTGGGAACACATACCCAGAAGTGGAATTTCTGGACCACATGATAATTTCTTTCTAGTGTTTCTGATGATGGAACCCAGGGCCTTACATCCTAGACAAGTGCTGTACCACTGAGCTACGGCCCAACCTATTTGGTAATTCTTGAACTTTTTTTTGAGAGACATCCTATTTGTAAGTATTTTTTGAGCCAGTTGAGTTGACCGTGGTGATGGTAGTGATGTACTATATTAGTTACTTCTGTTGCTATGGTAAAACACCCATGACCAGAAGCAACTTAAGGAAGAAGGAGTTTATTTTGGCTAATGGTTCCAGAGGATTAGAGTCCATAACAGCGAGGGTGGCATGGCTGTGGGTAGCCAGGGCAGGAAGCTGACTGCTCATATTTCCTTGGCACCCCAGGAAACAGAGAGAGAGAGAGAGAACTAGATGTGGGGTGAGGCTATAAACTCTCAAAGTCCATACTTTCTCCAGCAAGGCCCCACCTCCTAAAGCTTTCAAAACTTCCCTGAACAGGGCCACCAACTGGGGACTAGGTGTTGAGATGCATGAGTCTATGGGGGCCACTTCTCATTCAGACCACTGCATGAACCTCCCAAGTGGCATGTTTGTTTATAGTACTGATTTCCTATCTCCCCTGCCAGCTTTAGAAGGCATAATTAATGATCCACAATGTGATGTTTTAAGACAGTATGCATACACACAAAATGAATAAATCAAGATCATTAATGCAATCATTTCCTCTCATGCTTATTTCTGTTTTCCTGGTGAGAATCATTTAAGATCTGCGCTCAACAATTGCCAAGCACACAATGCCGTTATTATTATTAGCTGAAGTCACTGTGTTGCCCTATTGTTCTCCAGAACTTAGTCATCCTGTCTGCCTGGAACTGTGCACTTGACCACCATCTCCTCCTTCCTTCTCCTCCCTGTCTAGTGATCACTTAACTCCCACAGCTAGCCTCCACGATAGGATTCAGGACAGTGAGGTGAGGTCAGCTTAAATTTCAGGGCTTGGGGAAGACCTTGCCAAGATCAAGAGTACTCCATCCCACAGTTCCCAGAAATGTATCAACTGTACTTTCAGAAATCACCAAGGGTGAGGAGTGAGGATTTACTCAGCCAGACCCCCATACATGTGTTTAACATTAGCTATATGGGTGGTGATAACATTTCTTACTTTGGATTTTTCTGTAGGGATAGAGGAGGCTGAAGACAGGCTAATGGACTCCATCGACAGGCTCCAGTGTCTGACCATGACTGCTGAAAACCCAACTTCCGGAGACCTGACTCCTGTCCCCATTGTCACTTGCAAGCTCTGCCTGTGTGAACAGCCTCTGGACAAGGTGACCATGCTCCAGGAATGCCAGTGCATCTACTGTACATCGGTAAGTTTTCCTTAATGTTTGCACTGTGGGGAAGTCTGTGAGAAATTAGGGGAAGAATTATGAAAGCTACAGGGTCCATTTCTGTGGCATATTGAGTTTGCTACAGTCTGACCCTGCTCTGGAAAGCAAACACACATTTGGTTCACTTTGCAAATACCATCAGGAATAGTGAACAGATTAGTGGTTTTTATTTAGTAGATAATGGGTATAATGAATTATTATTTATTTATTCAGGTTTTACGTTACGTGGTGGAGGCAGAGCTTAGTATGCACCAAGGTCTAATGCACGCTAGGGAAGTGCTCTTATCACGACCCTTGAGCTTTTGAGACACGGTGTGCCTACATGTATATAAGTAGCTCCAGCTTGTGTTTAATTTGCTGTGTAGCCCAGGCTGGACTTGAACTCATGATCTTCCTGCTCAGCCTCTGGAGTTCTGGGATTATAGGTGTGTCCCACCACATCCAGAAATATAATTACCGAGGAAGTAGAAGCTTTCTGTTCTGAAGATCCTACCTAGTTCAGGAGCAAAACAAACTGTTCAGCATGTTATCGTTAACCATTACCTCCAAGCTCACTGGGTGTTCGGAATGATGAAAAAAATCAGATAGTGCCGGGCGGTGGTGGCGCACGCCTTTAATCCCAGCACTCGGGAGGCAGAGCCGGGCGGATCTCTGTGAGTTCTCTGTGAGTTCGAGGCCAGCCTGGGCTACCAAGTGAGTTCCAGGAAAGGCGCAAAGCTACACAGAGAAACCCTGTCTCGAAAAACAAAAACAAAAACAAAAACAAAAAAAAATCAGATAGTAATGAATTTTCCTCAATGTTTTCTCTTTTCCTACTTCTGAAATGTGCTGAATAATTCTTCCCCTGCATTAGTAAACAGCAACAACAGTGGCATGGATGTCCAGGGATGAACTTGCCTCTTTGAGTGATGTCTGTTATCAATGCCTGTCACCTATGTTACTGGTTTCCTTGAAGGTTGCTTGGTCAACGTATCAAGGTGGGAGCCAGAAGGAAGGGATCCCATAGGACTGAAAGATGGCAAAGAATGGTACCATTTACTCTTCCAACAGGCACCTGTCAGGCAGCACTGGTGTCCTGGCGACTATTCTCAGGCACCAGAAATTCTCAGTTATAGAAACAAAACCCAGAAAAGATCTTTGCTCTGAGGAGCTTATAATCTAGAAGTTCTTAATCTGTGGGTCATGACCTCTCTTGGGGTCAAATGACCCTTTCACAGGGGTCACATATCAGATATCCTGCATTTCAGATATTTACATTACAATTCATAAAAGTAGAAAAATTACAGTTATGAAGTAGCAGCAAAAATAATGTTATGGTTGGTTGTGTGAGCCCATTTTCAGGTTCCTTGTGGCTTTACCCAGCAGGTCTGCATAGAGAGGATGATTAGACCACGGGCCTGAGTGCAGGTGTCTGAGAGGGTCTGCCCTTGGCTGTGCTGGGGGACAGTCTTTTGCTCCACCCCTTGGCGTTTCTATAAGTACCTTAGAGCAGAGACAGTCAGGGCTCGCTGGACTAGGTTCCAGGCCCTCTTGAGGCTACCCTGTATTTTCTGTATGTTTATCTCCATGCTCTAAATCCTCTATCTAATATTTCCTGCTACTCTCTGGGGAACTGTGGGATTGGTGGGTAAAGGCCCCGCAGAGTTGGGGGTCACCACAAAATGAGGAACTGTATTAAAGGTTCGCAGCTCTCGGAAGCTGGAGAACTGCTGTTATAATCCACCAAAGGGTTGCAAACTGAGCACCAAGCATAGGAAACAGGAGCCTGGGAACAGGGCTTGGGAGAAAGCAGAGTCCAGTAAAGCAGGGGTCAGAGGTACAGGTCTAGGAAAGACACTGAGTTTTAGGGGGTTAGGAGTCACACTGATGTTACTCCTTCATCTTGCCAGTATGTGATTCTTTAAGGAAAGAGAGGAAGAGGTCTCATCATCTCAGGGCAACCATTTTCCTTTGGTTTTGTTTGGTTTCTGAACCCATCTGTCGGAAGCAATGGCTTCTCTATCTGTCTTACATGCTTTTGACTCTTCCCACTCCTTGAAACATGTGAATCAGAGGCAACATGTAGTGAAAACCACAATGGGAGTTTTCCTCTGAGTGTGCCTGGCATTTAAGGGCAGGATATGAGGTTCAGTCTTTGCTGTGAGAGTTCATAGTGCAGAATTCAAGCTTGTGTGTCAATGCTGGGAAAAGAATAGTGAGCCAAAGGCTGCATTTCATCTTTACAAGAAGCTAATGTTGACACATTGTTGTTTCAATAGATTTTAGTTTCTAATTAAAAACAGTACCACTGTTTCTCATTTCTTCAGTGATTTGGGAGTTGGAGTCTGAACAATTACATTATTCTGTCAACTAGATTCATACTTCCCTATTGTTACAGAGGGCTCAGAAGCAGAAAGTCACATGGCTTGATATTTTTGGTACCCTCCATTTTCTGGAAGTTTTTGTATCTATAAGCATTAACCTTCGCTGGCCTCTTGACACCTCATTACCTATGATGATCTAAAGCTGTAAGCTGAGCACGTGCGACTGCATTAGTGTCTGTAAATTGGCAATGAGAGTCGCCTGAAGTACTACTTGAACATTTTTTTACTGTTAGAGATTTATTTCTTCGTTTTATCCAAAACATGATAAAATAAAAAAAGTGTGCCTAGGGGCTGGAGAGATGGCTCAGTAGTTAAAGGAACTTGCTGCTTTTTGCAAAGGACTTGAGTTCAGTCCCCAGCCTCTGCCACTTTTATTTTTAGTTTATGTGTATGAGTATTTTTCCTTCATGTATGTCTGTGGGCCACATGTGCACCCAGTGCCCAAGGCTGTCAGAAGAGGGCATCAAATTCCCTGGAACTGAAGTTACAGACAGTTATGAGCTGCCATGCGGGTGGTGGGACTTGAACCAGGGTCCTCTGGGAGAGCAGCCAGTGCTCTTAACCACTAAGCCATTCCTCCAGCCCCTGACACACTCTGCTTTCGACCATCTAATGTAGGTAATTCTGGCTCTAAGTAACATCAGAGAAAGGAGGGCAATGCGCAGCACTGCCAATAGTACAGCACCCCTCTAGATGTTCCACTTGTGGGGGTGTTCTCTTCCGCTGAACTCCATGTGTGGCTTCAAATGGAGAAGAAGGGGGGTTGAGGATACAGATGTGGGCACAGTCCTCACTCACATGGATGAAGGCTTTAGGTGCACAATGGAGTTATAGAGTCACAGATGTGGATACATTGGGATTATAGTGAGAGAAACTTAGTAATTATTTCTTGTGCTCTAAAGGCTAAATGTCTCAGGAAGGTTGTAAATTAGTAAGAGGTGGAATGCAGAGAGTTTCTCTTTTTTTTTTTCTTTGTGTCCCTTCGTCAATATAAATAATGGAAACACGAAAATTCAAGCTTCACTTCTATCTTAGTTAGGATTTCTATTGCTGTGAAGAGACACCATGACCACAGTAATGCTTATAAAGGAAAGCATTTAATTAGAGCTGGCTTACAGTTACAGAGGTTTAGTCCATTATCATTATGGAAATCATTATGGGAAGCATGGCAGCATGCAGGCAGACATGGTGCTGGAGAAGGAGCTGAGAGTTCTACATCCAGATCCTCAGGCAGCAGGAAGAGAGTGATACTGGGCTTGGCTTGAGCTTCTGAAACCTCAAAGCCCACCTCTGGGGACTCACTTCCTCTAACAAGGCCACACCTACTCCCACAAGGCCACACCTTGTAATAGTGCCACTCCCTCTGAGTCTTTGGGGTCATTTTCATTCAAACTACCACACCTTCTCTGGATCTTTTTATTTTTCCTTTTTTGAGGCAGGGCCTTGCTGCACAGTTTTGGCTAGCCTAGCACTTGGTGTATAGCCCAGGCTGCTCTTGAACAATCTTCCTGCCTCAGCCTCTCAAGGACTAAGAGTTCAGCCTTAGCCATCACACCTGACTCATTTATAACTACTGCAAATTGTTCATTCAGATAATTCCGGACAGTTTCAGTCAAGGGAAAAGAATCCCAAAAGTCAGTTTTCAAAGCGGGGGAAAGCATGAGTTTGCTCTCTTGCGGGCAGCACTGGCCTGGCCTCTGGTTTGCTTTGGACACTGTTTCTGCCAGCCATGAATGGAGGATAATGGGAGCACAGTTGTTGCTTGTTTTTATAACCTAGATAATTTCACCTGGAAAGAGTTGGTCTGTTGGGCATGGCCTATTTACCTTCCAGATTAAAGACAGGATGTGTTGAGTGAAAAGAAAATAGACTCCAACCGTGTTCCTGCCTTTTTCCATTACCTTTTATTGGCTCTGGGTAGTTAGAATTCTTTTACTATTCATTTCTTGCAGCCAAATGGATTTTCCAGTGTTTAAAAAGTGAGAAGAAACAAGAGATTTTTCAATCAAGCCCTTCTTTCTTTCAGGGCCTGTTGGGTGACCTTTAAGAAAAGCCCCCAGATGCTCTGGGCGACACTTACAGTTGGGGAAGAACTGCCTACGTGTGTGTTCATGTGTGCGCACACGGCTGGTAACTGACGCGAAGCTGAGAACCTGCAGTGTTTCTCTCCAGGGTTCTCACTGATACCTTTATGACATTTTCCTACCCCACCCCCTCCTCTCTTGTGATACAACACAGCTGTGGTGAAGAGCCCAGACACACAGACAGGAGGAGCCAGACTCAGTCAGGCTTTGCCCTCCAGTGGTGTAAGATTTGAGGCAAGGTCAAGCCATTTGATTTCTGCTTCTGAGCAGGAGGAGTTGATAATGCCTGTCTTGGGTAGAAGTTCATCACAGGAGAATCCTAGTAAGGAGGCTAGCTCCCTTCCAACTCTGGAGTAGGCTAACATCACCGTTGTTCCTTTCCCGCAGTCCACTCTATATCGAGCCATTCTGTCTTTTCAAACCGTCCCAGAGCAAGGAATGCTGATAAAGATGTGTTTGACTGTCTTCATCCTCCTCATCAGGCATTTGCCAAAAAGGTGGATACACAGACACACAGACACACACACACACA